CTCGATCGTGAAACCATAACTTTCTGTTAGGACTCTTGCAAGTCCACTCGTCGAGATCCTCGCCTTCGTATTAGAACCGTAGTGACCCTCGACCGAGAGGTCAAGCGGACTAAGAAACACCATCGCCAGTTAGTAAAGGTTTGTTGGAATGCCAACCGAGAACCCGTTATCACTTAGGTGCATTAGAACCAATCGATTAGGAAGTTTCCTCCTCACGACTCGATCATTCGTGCATACTTCCTTGCTTAAATTCTAATTTCGGGACAAAATTTCTTCTAACGGGGGGATAATGTGACAACCCGATATTTCGAGACAATGTAATGTAAAACCAATCAAATTTGGTCAAAATATAACTTTCCTAAAATCTTATTTGGGTTAAATAAAGTATTAGGAATCGTATCAAGGTTTTCGTACATATAAAGAACCCTAAAATCCGAGTTATAACGAAGAAGTTATGACCAACCGAAGATTCTCGGCAAAACCGGCAACACCGATTAAACGAAAAACGCGAAGTTTCAATACAATAGTTTTTAGCATTAAGTATCTAAATGAAAGTTATAGATAACCTCAAACCGTGAGCATACATAAAAAGAACGTCCAAATCTGACTTCGTATGAGGAAGTTATGATTTTTCCAAGATTCGGGTATAGCAGTAGACAGCTAAAAACTCGAAATAGAGATCAAGATACTTTTGACCAAAACAACCTAAATGAGAATCTAAGGTCTCAACATTAGTAGCGCAACGATGAAAAGTCTGACGAAAACGGACATCGGATGAAGAAGTTATGGATTTTTAACGGAATTATCGCGTCCCGGCCCGTTAAAAATAAATAATTAAAAATAAAGTCAAAATTAGCCAATGAAGTCTAAACGAGAGTTGTAGATCATGTTTTTAGCTACGTGTGCATATAAAGAACGTCGAAAACGGAGCTCGTATGCAAAAGTTACGGATTTTACAAGTTCGGGGTCCGAAATCCGAGGCTGTCAGGCTTGCCACGACGTGGCACAAGCTTGCCACGACCCGGCAAGTGACTGAGGGCGTCCAATCAATGGAACAGGATAAGTTTGACTCCCCACGACGTGGCCATCACTTGCCACGACGTGGCACACCAGAAATGCCCCTATAAATACAACTCTTGGGGTGCCGGGTTTAGGTGCTCCATTCTTCTCTTTCTCGCGCCGAAACTCTGCGTTTAAGCCCCCGAGACCCTCCCAAAGCCCCGGTTTTTCACCTTCAAGTCCCGAAGGAAGGTTTTGTGTTCCCGAGATTCCCGAGATTCCCGAGAATCCCGAGATTTTCCCGCGTTTTCAACTCTTCCTGTCAAAGTTCTGCTCGATTCTTCTCTAAACTATTTCAAATCGACCACTTCAATCAAGTGAGTTCATACCCCTTAACTAATGTTTTAAACTACTTTTAAATGTTTAATGGGGGGGGGATACAAGTAGAATCATGCTAGTATTATATCAATCACATGCGATTAATAAGTAGAATTACGCTAGTTATTACATCAATCACATGTGATTAATATACAACATTCAAAAGATTTGGCTACTCATTAGCCGTTTTACCAAACAGTTTCCTTCAAATGACTTTTTATAAACATTTTATATGTTTTAAACTCCTTTTTACACTGTACAGCTTACTCCGTACATTACCTTTCAAACTTATTTACAACTGTGTTTCAATCAAATGTTTCCTTATACTCAAAACTGTTTTATCATACTTATGCCTTCAAATTGTTTATAGATCGACATCAAGTCGATCTTTTCTTAAAATAATATTTATGTTTCAAATGTCTTACAAAATTTATTTATGCTTTTATATTATAAATTGCATGCCTCTATATGTATAGTTATATAAGAAATGTTTAAAAGACTTAGGAAGGCTATCCACCCTATTTCCTTTTCGCGCCTTGAGATGTGGTCTGGTGGGATATTGGGTATTCGTCCGAAAGTCGTTTAAATATTAGTTATATATCATGTGTACATATATAGTCATAAAAGGTCTTTCCAGTTCATCCCATGCCCTTAGTTAGTAAGGGTATACATCCATGACCATACGTACCAGTTAGACTGCTAGTAAACTACCATATGGGTAGTTTAGGAAGATACTAGAACCGTTACTAGAACGCGATATCATACAATGAGTCAGTTCATTCATGAGTCAATACTTTCTAGAACATTACATATACAACTATACTAGGACGAGAACATATACAACTATACTAGAACGAGAAACATTACCCTTACATTAATACGTTAACAATTGTGATCCACTGTATCGGAGCATGCCTTAAATGTCATGGCCCGAGTTGTAGCCAGAATTCTCTTGGAGGGAGAGCGTTGAGTTTGCGTATAGATCTATACTGGATTGACAATCCTACACCTTGCTGCTAGCTACAGCCGGACCTGCAGGTCTGCGGGTGCCAAACGTCATTCCGTTATTACGACCGTTCTTTATGTCGTTGTTATCAGTCGATAGTATGGTGCAATTATCACATTATACCTTAATATAAATCCGGTTTAAGGTAGTTAGTACAGCAGTAGTTCCTATAATACAAAACTACAGTACTACAATGATTTACCCATTACATTTTTAGTGATACCTCACTTAAACTTTAATGTACAAACTATATTTTGATAATGATAGTTACACTTGGGAAAATTACACACTTTTCAAGAAACGAACATTTAGAACAGTTAGGTCTTGGTAGAAGACGCACTTTATATAATAGTAGGAATCATAGGATTTCTAAGGTTTTTCAAACGTTTACAGTTGTTTTACAAGCATTTTCATACTTACCGTTCACTTACAAATTCTTCCATACAAATTAAGACACTAAATACTTATGATCTCACCAGCTTCAAAGCTGATACTCGCTTTCAAAATTACTTGTATCCTCAGGTCATCATAGACAGGTAACGATGCAAGGAGAAAGGAAGATGGAGCTTGTTCAAGACTTATCTTTCATTTTGATTTATGCTTTAGTGTTTATCAAAATTTGACAGAATACAATTGTATAATAATTATTTTATTAATGCAATGGATGATGTTGTTGCTTGTTTAGTACTTTACATTGTTGTTGATATTATACATGACATCCTCCGCCCCAGAACGTTTCCGCCGTTCTCGGTTTTGGGGTGTGACAATATGTGATAAGTCGATTCTATGCATGTATTAAATTGTCATAAATATGTTGAATTGATGTATGATTGCCCAAGAATAGCACTACTTTGATGAGTTATTGAACTTTATATGAAGGTCATTATATACGACTAAAGTGGGTGGAAACTACAAGAAAAATGAGCAAAATGAAGCTAACAAACATGGGAGATGAGTTGCTAATGGAATGAAGAAAAATGGTGCTGAGAAATTTAACCATTCTTCAATATTCTGATCATATCTCAAGATCTAGAGCTCCGATTGACATGAATGGAAAATGTCTGGAAACCAGATAAAATTTCCTACAACTTTCATGTTTTGCGTATTTTCCGATTCTACCGTTTTCATCACCAAAAAGGGGCAACAAAGATTACGGACGTCCTAGAATGCGTCTAAGACGCCTCCTTGGACGCCTACCCGTTTTAGGCCATTTTCAAGTGCAAATCAAGGACAACAGATGACATGTAAAACATCCTCAAGGATGCCCAGACGTCCTATATGACGTCTAAAATGCCCGCTATGACGTCGACGCGGAAAATAGCTCAGAAAATCAGTTTTTCTGCACCTATTTAAAGGAGATTTAACCCTAATCGAAAAAGGACTTCTCCCTGGAGATTTTCCACGGTTTTGGAGGGTTCCAAACGCATTCAAACCTTCTCCAAACACATTTTTTGATCATCAATTCCGAATCTAAGGCTACAAATCACCAAGTTCATCATCATTCAACATTTGAAGTCGTTCAACCGGTGGATCTTCATCAAACTCCAGATTTGGTTACTTCTTCTCCATGGTTTCATCGTTCCATGATTGAATGATCATTATACTTTATTAGTTTTTTGATTTAAAGTTTGTTTATGAATTTTAGTATGAATTCCATTGTTTTTATTTAATTTGTGTGCTTTTTGATTATTATGGAAGACTAAACCACGTAGGTTACTTCCGGGAACGTTGTAGGATGTTAGGATGAACACGTTTTGATTATTACTTTTATTCTATTCAATTTTAGTTATTGTTTCATTCTTAAAGTTATGATTTTTACTTAGAGTAATTGGAGTTGGGTTTTCTTATTGTGTGATATTGCAACTAAGATAGTGTATTGTTAATTCACTAATCATTCTGAATTCAAGTAGTTTAGGAGCTAAGATGATCAATTGAACCCACATACATTATTTCGAATTTGTAGTATTATATACCCAACATTGTAATAGGTAATTGTAAGACACATTATCTCCAAACCACTAGTTGGTCCTAATCCAATTATACATAGGGAGTAAGACAACTAGTTGGAATAACATATTGTGTGCTCACAATTATTTGTTGCAATTTAATCTACCTTAATTATGTCTAGGTAATTAAATTGGAATTTTAGGGAAGAAGAACATGTAAGTCCAAGCATCTGAACAACCGAACCGGAAGTATCTTGTTTTTGTTCTCATTGATAGTAGTTTGTTTTAGTAGTTCTTGCATTACCAACTTTTAAGCTTTTTCATCAACTTTTAGTTTAAATACTTTCGTGACAATTTCTAGTGGTTTTTCATTAACTATTTCAACACAAAGTTTGGCCACAACCTCCTCGTGGATTCGACCCTTACTTACCCTAGCTATCTAGTGTGTGAGAGGTTTATTTTTGACCGAGACAATGATCTTGATCAAAATTTGGCACCATTTCCAGGGATATTATGCGCTTAAACTATTGTGTTGAAGTAGTCATTAATATTTGTTTTTTAGTTTAATTATTAGTTCAGAATCTTCACTCTTTTACTGTTTTTGTGTAGGTGTACTGGTGATGGATGAATATATTTACATGGATCAAGATATGTGGTGCGAGAGAGAAAATATGGGCCAATATCAACACTATAATGATCCATATAATGATGATTTATACGATGATCGATATGATGATGATTATTCGTGGGATTACAGTTCAGCTCAAGGCCAATACCGTGAATCATCTTGCTTCCTAGACAACCAAGAATCAGACAAATCTTCATTCAGCAAAAAGTTGGATCAAATGCTAGAGATGTTGAAGGAAACCTTAAACAAGGAGGAAGTCAACTCCAAATTAATTTTCGCGATTGAAGATCAACTAGAACGAATAACGGATCAGCTAAAGCAACAATCACCAGGTAAACCTTCAGACACTACCCAAGTAAATGAGGTAAGTTTTCTATACAGTGATAACATTGTGTATAATCCTACACCACCCGAAATTTAGGTTGTGGTGGAGGATGATATACCTTTAAATGATAATTATATCCAGAGTATGTTAGAAAGCAAAGAAGTTGTAATTGAATTGGAAAATTGTAATGAAGAGTTTCATGAGTTAGAAGCATCCAAAGTTGGGGAGGGGTTTGTAGAGGCTAATACCACCCCTTACCCAACAACTTTGAAAAATTTGAACCACAAATTCTTGTAATGGATTCTAAAAAAGTGGTCAAATACAAACAAAAAAAATATAATCATTGATCGTCTGTTTTTGGAAACCGTCTATTCTCAGATTAGTTGTCGGGAAGGTGTGATTGATATGATATTTGGAAACCATAAAGTGAGATTTCTTTTGTTTCGACCTACTAATGATCCTCCAATTAGTGGTGACATGTTTGTAATCAATACTATTGATGATTATGTTTATGAGCATACCACAAATATGCTCTATGACACCACTCACAACTTGGAGAAACATTTTCCTTGTCACAGGTTAATAGAATTTGATAGGGTTGAGTTTCAACAAGTGAAGAAGAAATTATGGATCAAGAAACATGATGTTGTGCTTACCCATAAATCAAAGATGAAGATGCTTCATGATACCAAACATCGAGTCAACAAGTCCATTAATAAAAATTATGCTTAGATGCTCGAATCAAGGTTTAGGTGTTATCGTGGAAAGATTAAAGGCAACATGGTTTATTTATACAAGGTCGAAGATGGCATGCCACACGATCCGGTCATTAAGGTTAAGGTCAAAAACAAGACGGTTGACGTTAAAAAAAAGTCCATGGATATATGATCCTCCATAGACATCACTCGAGGTAACCCGTCCCGCTAATGATATTAAACTTGGCAATTTTGGAACTTTGTGGGTGTGTTCACTGCAAACCCTCACGAGACTTCACTCGTCCACTAGGGTAACCTAGGGGTTTAAAAGGGTTGTTGTATGTGCCAAGTGCAATCGTGGACCTGATGAAATTTATGGGGGTAGTTAGTTTACTTTATTTTATAATTGATCTGATTTTTGTGCTTGTGGTTTTTTCTCTCTTGTTATTTTAGGAATTTATCTTTTGATGCATCGAGGACGATGCAAGACTTAAAGTTGGGGAGGGGGTTTACAAAAGAAGAAAATGGAAGATTGAAGAAAAAGCGAAAAAAATCATAATTTTTTGGTTTTCATTCGGGCATAACGAAACATTATGCAATTGCCTCTAATTAGTGAAGCTTTTTAGGAATCAAAATTGCCTCTACCATTGGTACCATCAGGTCTGATGTCCTCCTTATTTGAATTTTTCATTAGTTTTGATGACTTATTTTGACAATCAATTTGGGATGAATGTACTGTTATTTTAAACTCATTATTATTATTATTATTCTCTCCGGGGTTGGTTCTATGAAATATGTGATGATTTAGTAGCCCCTCTATATTTTGAATGTAGCTCATTAAGATGGAAAATGATAGGAGTTTTGTATATCGATTCATAATATCTATTTAATATTTGATTTTGTGGGTTGCTCAGCCGGTTTGGAAATATTTATATTTGTTTAAAAATTGTTATGTGAAATACCCACGTTTGAAAAAATGAAGGTTTTTGGCTCGAGCCTATGATCTTTCAATTGAGCCCCAACCGAATAATATGTGCCATCATGCTCTGATTACTTGGTCTTACTTACTCCTGCGCCTTTAGGGTTAGGAGGGGACTATTATTGTTTTCACACAATTACAAAGCATCATAAGACATCAAAGAACTTCCAAGTATCTGTATTAAAGCTCAAGTCAAATACAAAGATTATCAAATCCGATGAAGCCATCAAAGAACTTGAAGAATGCAAAATCAAGATAAATATGAAGAAAAGTTCAAGTTGAAGACATTGTGTGAAACAATATGTGACCCCTGATGGGTTTTGGTCATAAGACATCCTATGTGCTCATACAAACCCTAATGCTTGGATCTAGGTTTCTCTATTGTACATGCTTTGAATCCAAGACTATAAACCCTAATTCTAGCATACAAGTAATCATATTAATATGTAAATAAGTTTATAGTGTTACCTTGATTGTTATGTAGCAATAACAATCCCAAATCTCCTTGTATTGACTTTGGAATGCTTAGAGTCACAAGTGTCACTCCTCTAATGGCTCACAAACACCATAAGCAAGAGGATGAAGAGGAGAGAGGATGGAGGCTGCCAAAACGTGTGTAAACCCTTACAAGAAGCTTAGCCACGTTTTTGAGCCTTAAGGGGTCTTTATATAGTTGGGCTATTAGGGTTATCTAACAAGGAAACCCTAATTTGGATGCTTAAGCCCTAAGCAACCCATAGACTCCTTTAATTAAGCCCATGGACGATTTCCTTATGGGTTTCCCATTAGAATTCGTCCATCCCTTAATACAAGGCAATCCATGGCCCAAATTGCAATTATCTTATAATTACAATTCCAGTCCCTTAAGTTTAATTAATCTCTTTTAGTCACAAAACTAATTACCAATTAATTATTGACTAATATTAATTAAACAATATGATTTCTCCTTTAATATATTATTCCCATAATATATTAATAAATCATATTTAATCCTTACTCTCCATAATTCATCCTATCAAGTTGCTTTGGTGAAGGCAACCCAAAAGGACCATGCACCATCGGGTCAAGTACATACCAAAATAGTTATGGACTTAGACACTAATCCAACAGTCTCCCACTTGGATAAGTCTAACAACTATTCTGCGTATGACTTCAGATCCTGATCTGCAATCGTAGCTTTCCAAAGCCGCTGTCAACTCTGATCATATCAGATACGTGTGTCCTTAGATAAGGGATCATATATTCCTCCATTCTAGATATCGTCTGAGATATGATTTCTAATCATTCTCTTTGTACTACTTCTCGATTTCTGATTTATGACAACAGACTAATTGAACAAATCAAATTAGCCCTAGCCCGGCCGAGCATTTACGTATGTCATCACTAAACCATCGAGGGGCCCAAAGATATCGCTTTTGTCCTACTTTGGATAAAAGGAACAGATAAACTTTGATACAATGCTCGCTTGCACTCACTAACCAAATCACACACAACAATATGTTTTATAACACCAAGTTACTAGTGCGTTTACATATTATCAATGTGCAACCGATTCGCAAGATACAACTCACACATCTCGGTTTCAAGAATATAAGATGTTATTGTCTCACTAATCACTCGAGATAGTGATCCAAGTGAGCGTGGGTTTAATCCAATGCTCAAATCATATTCATAAGCACTCATGAACGTTGCAGCAAACATTTGCTTATGTCTAATACTCTTTTAGACAATCCACACACCAATTCACGACAGTCTTCATTCATATCTACTTCCTGCATATGAACGACTGTGGCCCGTTTGAATAATTCGATTATTCTTAATAAACTCAATTATTCTGGAAGTCAAAACATGCAAGGTGAAACACAAGAATAATACTAATCCCATATGGCCTCAAACCTTTGAGTATAAACAAAACACGTTTTATTTATCACCATATCGATCACTCATTATTTGTCGTTTCGGGTAATCAACTTTTTACTTGAATTATTACACTTGTCCCATGCTCCTAGCATGCACACAATGTTTACCTATGGTTCTTACTTTTGTGAAATAGACAAATTGAACACATTTCCAATCATTCTCATTTTACAACTCCAAATCCATTTTCTTAAGTGTAAGAATATCAAATTCTCGCTACTTATAGAATATGCTAGATTCTAACACTTTATGCAACGATCCTTTCGTAATGTCACTGCACCAAGGTCACAAAGACTATTGCCAATGATATTACAAAGTCCTCTATCGGAGATTGTTACAAGACAATTCCTTAGATGTGATGTCTCTCACTCAAAGTACATTCCTTTGAACATCCTTTTGCATAAAAGTTTCTAATCTAGACATAGATTTTCAATCTTTACTTCCCAATATGGACACATTTCCATACTTTCCATATGACAACAAATTTCTTAATAGAATCTTTTCTATTCATCATAATGTCAATATGGTTCATTAATACCATGCTTCCAACTACTCACAAGCAACCAATCATCGTCGAACTTTGGATTGTTCTTTGACAGTTGTTTAATTATTTGAGTCAAAACCGATTCTAGTCCCTTTTCCCTCTAAATGCGCTAGACATTTGGAAAATTTTAGAATGGTCAAACATTAAAGCATTTGCAATCGATCCTATACCTGAAGCGTATGGGACACGATGCACAATGTTTTATTTGCTATGTTCTCAAAATTCGAATTGTGAAGAGGAATGCCGTAATCATAATCGAAATTTTAAGAACACACTATGTACCTTTGACTAAATTTATTAACATTCCACAACCTAATCCTTTAGATTTGAAATGAAGCATAATATTCTCTCCCTTAATTATAGCAAAACAACTATACAACCCTTACAACTTTGCAAGGTATAACTCTTGTTTTTCTATAATTAATATTGCCAACTTGCAAAACTTTCCATAATAATCATACAATCATAACTTTTATGCTCCCACTATCATGATGATTATTATAAAACATAACACTTATGCTCCCACTAGCTTCGACATGTACTCATAAACATCTTAACTTTTAGAAAAACAATACTTATCGAATTTCTTAAGTTCATGTTTCTAATACTTAGTGCTTTGATAATCTTTTATCAAGGCTTCTTGAACTTATACACTTTTGCCTTAGATAGTTCATATGTGTGTCTTAACAATTAAGACTAATTGCCAAACCTCACAATTCAAATTATGGAAAGGGATACCGTAACCATGATCGAATTCGAGAATGCAATTTTACAATCACTATCTTTTAAAATCTTTCTTAGTGAAAGCATTTTCTCACAATCATTTTCATGAAGGAGAAAATCTTATGACACTTAGATTTAAATGGTGTATTTTTTCCTATCCATGTGAATTTGTTAAAACAAAGTTTACAACAAATTCAGACTCATATGGACCGAACTTTCTTAATCTTGATTTCTTGCCTTATGGTAGCACAGCTGCCCACCACGTCTTCCAAGTAGTTAAGCATCTCACATTTTTCCTATCAATGTAACTTTCATTGATCAAGGTGCTTGTCTTTTATGCATTCAAATGAGAACTCATAGGACTCACATGCATAATTAACTCAATTGGATTGGCACAGAAACAAAATAATATCTTCACGATAGGTTGTAAACCTCAACTCGTGTGCTAGTGATGATCGATAAGGCTTATTTGATTTGTTCTTGAAACTTTTCAAGACTATTAAGACTCCCACTGACTCCTTGACATATACGATTCTCTTATCAAAACATTTCTTGACAAACAAATATTCAAGAGTTAGTGTAGCTTATATCAAAACAAAACACTTCATAATTTTGGTCTTAGTTGGTCTTTGTCTTATCCAAGACATCACAACTTTCCATAATTGATGAATGTTATAAACCTTCTTAATACTATTCACTCAATGTCACAATCTTGACTTTAAGACTTGTTTTGGAACGAAGTATGATTGACTTCTTGATTTGACCATTTCTTCAATCGTTGATTCCTCTTCTTGGACATACAATTGTACCAAGACTCATTAGAGGATCAATTGAGATATGGTTCTTAATCATTAAGACCTATCATAAAGCATAA